GTCGCCACGCCAATAGAAGACATTTGGGACATAAGTCTAACCGTCACACATTCTCGTTTTGGCTACCCTCTATTTTTTTACTGGTTACAGGTTGAAATGTTTTACTATTTTGTCGTCGCCCATACTGGAAGTGACGACAATTCAAGATGGCGACGCCCCTGTGGAAAATGTCTATAGGCACGTATTTACGCATATAGTCAATGCTATGAAGCACGCAGAGTGAATCAGCTTGACAAAACACCAAAAGAATGCCAATATATGCTAAATAAAACAATCGAAACAGACGGCAAAAACGAAGCATGGAGTTATGGAACGAAGAACACGTATTGGATAAGTAACACACTGTGCATGAATAATCATTGATAGCTTGTATGATAGCTTGTATTCATTGATTGAAAGCTTGTATTGACATTTGATAGCTTGTATTGACATTTGATAGCTTGTATTGACATTTGATATCTTGTATTGACATACCGTGCTGTACAACATTCGCCCGGGATTCAGTTGTTGCTAATTTAAACATCGCTCAGTAACAAAAAAAAAAATCATGAACTAAATAAATTACACTTTTATAATGTGAAGAAAGCTACATAGTACCCGTTACGAATAAAGAAACTACGCTGACTTCTATTATTCCCTGACGAAGAGACAAATATCACGTACGTTTTCACATAGGAATACACAGGAAGGCTGTAAAGTAGACTGCATGCGGTCTGCTTCAATTTACAATCGGAAGTCCCGCAGACACTAGCGCCAACTGAGCCTTTAACGTTTATTGTAATAACTCTATAAATTTTGAGGACATTGATTTGGACTTGTGACTGTCTTTTATAAACTTTATTTAAAAAAATAAAACTATACGCCCGCATTCAATGAACAAATTACGTTTAGGCAGTATTTAGAAAACTCACCAACGGATTTGTTGCATGGACTTTTTAGGGCTTAATAACGTTTTATACGCTCTTCCTCACAAGTTGTGTGCATTTGCCATAATAAAATGATAGGCATTCGCACGCGCTCGCGTAGAACTCCCTACACCATACACGCTTGTTTCCACGCCTCCCCGAAACAGTGCGCAAAAAAAATCTTGAGGTTGTCTTTCGAGCAGTCAGTGAGTAACGTTATTTTATGTACTGTTTTCTACTCAACACTACACCTGCAGGCAGGGTATGCACGCACGCGCATTTGGCCTAAAAAAAATAAAAGACATTAACTCGGACGCTGAATCCGATGTCCTTCGATTGGTTTCGTAGCCAAAACCGCGCCCAGGACACTGGTCAAAGCACCGTTACTTAGGCCCGCTCAGTCACCGCGCAAGCTGTTCGTCCTCCTACGATACAGGTCGGATTACGAGTTCGGGGTGGCGACCCAAGTCTTTCGTCTCTGCGCACACGTTTGTCCATGGACGATGGGTCTGCCTCCAGGCTGTGCTAAAGCCTCGAACCCTCCCCCCCCCCCCCCCCCCCCCCTCCCCAACACCTGGGTTCGCTAATGATCAGCGCGCATCCTGGGAACCAAAGCGACAAAAGGCAAAGCACCGCATGCATGAGGAGCAAATCCCGCTCGCGGTAACCGTTGGCGCCATCATTACCCACGCCTCGGGGTTGGCCTGAACTGCATGCATGTATGTAGCCGTCCCTCACCTCGTGTACACATACGCACTAGACAGCGCGAAGACAAAGCTCGTCTCAGACAGAGACAAGGGCGTCGGGCAGCGAACGAACGCGGCACCTGGTCGACGTTTGAGAAGTCGTTGCGTTGCTGATCAGTACATGGAACGTTGGCTGGCTGATTAGTTGTGGCGCTGGGTGTATCGGTGTTCTCTATCTTTTTTTTTTTTTTTTTTTTTTAGAGGGTATTATTTTTTTGCGCGAAAAACAACGTCGAAACAGCGGAATTGCAAAAAAAAAAAAAAAAAAGATAGAGGAGACAGCGTGCAACGAAATGGCGACGGAGCAGCGACCAAATCCAAGTAACAGTGTATCCAAGTGCTCGAGCCGAGAGACGCTCTTTCGCGTGCTCCGTATACAGAAGGAACCTTTGCGATACAGGTTTACCTGATATTACTTCGCCTAGGACCTCGTCGTCACTAGAACGACGACCAAGGTGCACTTCTCGCAGACATATGTTGGGACCATCTTGGCATAGACACTGACAGTTTAAAAAATTCAGGACACGGCGAGTCCCGCTCCTCTTTTTGTTAGGGGTGTGCGAATAGTGAAATTTTAACTCGAGTCGATTTTGAATCGAATAGTGCCGAATAGTGGCCAAAAAAGTTCAATGTCGATTCGAACAGAAAGACTAAAAAATTGTTCAAAATATTCACAAGAAGAAAAAAAAAGAAAAAAAAGAGAAAAAAAAAAGCCTCATGCATGAAGCATTTTATTCCCTCTCTCTCTCTCTCTCTTTTGGACAGAACAAAGGCCATTTCTCGGGGAACTGCCAGATCCTCGCGCTCCAAATCTGCGACAGGGCACTCTATGGCGCTGTGAATTGCGAAACAGAGAAAAGGTGAAACGCCGTTGGTGTTGCGAATAGAGGAGGCTATGGCAGTAGTGACACACAACCGCACGCCGGTATGACGCTCCTCCAGATCGAAATGGGCAGGGGTAAGGATCGAGCCCAGGTTCTCGTGCTCCTACCTACGTTGCACTCACATAATCGGGCACCGCTCCACCCTAGAGCACAGAGCTTTCTGCAGGTGACGCGCGATCCTTAGTATTCAAAATGACGACGTGCGCGGCCGTCTGCTTTTCATCGAGCGCATACAAGAAGCTGGGGACGTGACTGCTTTCTTCGAGGAGCACAAGAAATTAACTACTTTCTGTTGAAACGATTCGTTCGTCAATGCTGCAGCATACACGCTTGATTTAGATCCAACACATGGATGTGATCTCTATTTCACCGTATGAAACAGCGTTCCTAAAAGAACCAGAATTTTTTTTTTTTTTTTTTTGCAGTTTTGTTATTTGGTCATTTGAGTTTTTTGAGAACTCAAATACTAGACATACGAAAGTCGAATCGAATTATCCGGGCTATTCTTATTCGATTCGAATTCGAAACTCGAATATTCGTTCAGCTCTATTTATTACCGCTCCGCAGCCAATGATACTGAGACATCAGTAGATGAGGACGACCAAACTTGATCGCGAGTAAGCGTCAACGATCTGTGCTTGTCACGGGAACTGTACATGATGTAGCGAACGTATGATCAACGGGAGAAGCTGCGCTTCCAACAAGCGCTCGTAGCCAATCCGTCGCGCTTAGAGCAGTGCTTGTACCGAAGTGTTATCCAAGCTCGCGCTTGAGGCCAAGGTACTACGGCAGACCTTGACGTCCCCCCGTCTTGGATCATAACACTTGCCCTATATTTGTTCTCACGATCGTGTAGTGTCGTCATCGAGTAATGCTGCGACGGAGCTGCGCCGCTTTAAGGGCAACAACACTCAAGTACCCCGTACTCGATCGCATTTCTTTAACAACGGTGCCCGGAACTACGGTGCACGAGCGTTCGTGCCGCTTGTAGGAGCTATCAAAGGCAAGGAGCTCGCGTTTAGAGTCATTTCTGTAGAAATAACCATTTGCGGCGAGCATGACCTAATTTATGTCATGCGCGAGGCACGTAGATATTTCTCCGCGTTCGGTGGGAGTTGATACCACGAGGGCGTCACAACATTTGGTGCCCCGGTAGACTTCCGGTGGTGTATTTATACGTTCTTCAGCAACGCACGGTGATCGGGTAGGAGATTTTTCTTCGGAGAAGTGCCTGTAGTACGTTTGTAAGAATCTGCGCGCATTGTAGAAAGTAGTACAAATAACAAAAGGATACGAGACAAAAAAGAAGAGGAAAACCGGAAGCGCGCAGGGGTTCGCCGACAAAGGGGGGGGGGGGGGGGGGCGGTAGTGAGCATGTTTGCAAACAAACATCGGTGAATAAAATACGATAGGTCTGTCCTATTCACCATTCTAATGTTTAAAAGTAAAAAAAAAAAGTGAAAGCCGTTTACAACTCCTGTAACACCGAATTAGAGCGCAGCTCTTGAGGAGGAGGAGCGACGGGTACTGGGGGCTGAAGTGACCTGGGGGGGGGGGGGGGGGTCACGTGACCTTGGGGAGTGACGTGACCATGCCGATGATGTCATCAGTGACGTCACTGATGACGTCATCAGTGACGATGACGATGCGGACTCCGATGACGTCATCAGCGATGATGACGATGACGATGCGGATGTCGGTGACGTCATCAGTGACGTCACTGATGACGTCATCTGTGATGATGACGATGACGATGCGGATGCCCCCCCCCCCCGAAGTCACGTGACACCCCCAGGTCACGTGACCTCGGCGGGGGTCACGTGACCCTGGGGGTGGTTACGGGACCTGGGGGTGTCACGTGACTTCGAGGGGGTCACGTGACCTCGGGGGTCACGTGACTTCAGGGGGTCACGTGACTTCAGGGGGTCACGTGACTTTGGGTGTCACGTGACCTTGGGGGTTACGTGACCTTGGGATGACCTTGGGGGCCACGTGACCTTGGGATGACCTTGGTTACGCCGACGCCGACGCCAACGCCGACGCCGACGCCGCTCAAGCCGGGAACGGGCCCCTAAGAGCTGCGCTCTAAAAACAGTGTGCAATCTTGGCAGCCTAGCGCGCCCGTATTCACCGTTGCAGAAAGCGACCAAATCGCGCACCATACGCACGAACGTTAAAAATGACCACCGACCAGAAGCCCATTTCTACAATGATCTCCAACACGCGGCTCTGCCGTATCGCCTCAGCGGTGGCGCTCTTGTTGACATGGCGCGCGCATGCGCAGATGGTTCACTTCACTCGAATTTGTTTTCTGTGCGCGCGCAATGCCCGTCTGGTGTGGGCCAATGCTCAGTTGTTTGTAGACGCGTGTAGGTCTATATAGAAGAAAGAGTAAACCAAAAGGGCGACGCACACACGTTCACGCTAGCCGCGCGTCAAGAGGCCAGGTATGCGTACTTACTTACTTGGGCATTTGTAGAGCTTGTTGGTCTGCGAGATGTCCCCCTGGGACAGGCGCACCCGCTGGCCGATCTCGGGCCTCCGCTTGGACGTGTTGTCCTCCTGCGGCAGGATGGTGTCCAGGTGCGTGTTCTTGGAGAAGGTGTTGCGGGCGTAGTGCATAATAGACTCGAAGTCATACGCCAGGCCTAGAGAGTTGACCTCTTCGTCAGTGAGCTTGTTGAAGTTGTACTCCTGCCCAGACATGATGTTCTTGGTGACGATGTCCACGTGGGCGTCCCTGTCGGGCCGCGTGTGCTCGTGCCAGAAGCCCACCACGTGTCCCAGCTCGTGTACCACGATGCCAAACTTGTCGCAGTTCTTCCCGATCGAGATGGCCTGCGCGCCGTTGCCACGCTTGCCCACGAACGAGCAGCACCTGCGCGGACGACAAGCGCGTACGTCCGTTCTGATGAATGGGTGGATACGACTGAACCCTTTTGATCGGGCGGCAGCTTGCGCCATCTAGCGTTTTTTTCCCCTTCGTTTTTTTTTTTCACATGAAAACAAGTCTAAGCAATGAAATCTCGAAGTACAATTGGCATCCGGAAGGGGAGTTGCGCTACCTTTCCAGCCTCCTTGGCGGCTCAGAGCAGTCGCAGAGGAGGAAGGAAATGTAGCGCGACTCGCCTTCACGACGCAAATCGTGGTTCATGCCTTCCCCGCAGCGTGAAGAGACCCTGTACATACGCACCTCTTGGGAAAAGGACCTTTGGGGAAGCATCGAACGATTTCGTTTCGGATTCATAATCCGTAAGGCCAGTTGTTGGGTTACGAATATCCCCAGCAGCACAAAGTGGCCAACCCCGCCCATCGGGACGCGCTACCCGTCCTTATCACCAGTGGGTTTCTTGGGTACATGCAACGTGCGTCTTATATAGGCGAACCCTGTTAGACACACTCGATTGGCTCTGCATGCCGTACACACGTAGCGTGTTGGTGTCCTTCGCGGTCGACGGCCGGCAACAAAGGAACGCGTTTGCTAACTGCCTGAGCGGGCCCCTAAGGTGTGAGTGAGCTCACCTAGGACATTTTTCTCACATATGTACGCCAATGAGAAGATTTAGATAACTGGTCGACGACATGGCCGTTTTACACGGATGCTCAGGATCAGGGTTGTAAAGTACCTAGGTACAAGTAACTGGAAATCTGTATCTAGGTACTTTCGTGTACCTGAGGTACAAACCTAGGTACTTTAATTTCTCGGTATCTGTATTTGTGTCTTAGCTACATTTTCCAGTAGCTTGTAACTAAGTGAAGCTGCTTTTTACAGGTACTTTTTTATTCAGTTCGTCAAAATGGTAGAAAGTATAAATCTTGAAGTATTAACACACTACCATGTGCCGTGATTAACATTGAGTTTAGTACGACATCGGAGGCCCTCACTTGATTAAACGACGTTTTAGCGAACGAAGCCCCGCCTATGATGTTTCATGGAACGACACACTTTAGTGAATGTAGGTGTTCATTTGAACGAACGGTGGATTAGCGATGCCGTTCTAGCGCTTCCTTCCTTCCTTCCTTCCTTCCTTCCTTCATCTCAAACCGAAATCGACTTCATTGCGTGTTTGAAGTTCCTCTGACAGCTATACAAGGAAGGAGATAACTTGAACGATGTGCGCAGTTTCTGTTGCCCGTATCTTGTCCTGGTGGTGGCACTGTTCTGCCATAAATACAATATAAAATAAAATTGCAAATAAATTATAATTACAATCGTAAAGCAATGTAACATCGCGTATATAACACAGTTTCCACTCAATAAATCGGACTCAAATTTTGCAGTTTTGAAAACTAAAAAAGTTCCAAAAGAAAAAGAAAAACTCATTTTTCTTCTGATTAACGAAAGAAAAAATAAAACGAGGAAGCTTGAAGCCTTTCGCTCGTCGTCGCGAAGGCTAGGTGCATATGCACTCGACTCATGCGTTTCTTTATGCGGCTGACTTCAATACGCGAATTTCGGCGGTTTCGGTGTGACATGGTGTAAACAGTGGAAGCTGTGGCCTCAGTGAACCAATTGAAGCGTGGGGACAAGGCACGTGAGGACTCAGCACCGATGTGGACATCGCATCGACACCAATAAAGCACATTTATCGAACTCGTTGTTGAGTGTATCCTTAGTGTAAAAAGCTTTACTTCAAATATATTTTGACAAATTTGGGGAAGATAAATAAAGACAGTATCTTTAAAGTAACTGTACCTGTACGTAAGTACATCTTTAAGCAAGTACCTAGGTGCGTAACTGAGTACCTCTTCGTATGAGTAACTGTAACTGTATCTTAGGTACAATTTTTAAGTAACTTTTACAACCCTGCTCAGAATGCAACTCAGAGTCAATGTTATTAAACCACTCAGTTGGGAAACTGCCATAGAGACTGCTTTAAAAAAGTGGCCCCGATTTGTCCTCGAGCACCGAGCTAATGACGAACACAACGCCACCATTCCTCCCGCAGCGGCCATTCGAGGAACCGCACGTTACTTCTATTTTGGCTTTAATCGGCCATTTTGGCGCCGAAACAGATACAGTGAAAGAGGTTACAAAGGTGCCACCCTCGTCTCCCGAAATTAAAATGCGCCTAGGTCGGGGCGCGCTACCTGAAAGCACCGCTGAGGCACGGTTGTATAAAAACAATATTAATGGTGCCGCAAAACCTTGCAAAGTAAAGATTTTAAAAACATCACGCGCCCTTTATTTTGTACAAAACTCCAATAAATTTCATACAAAAAGAGTCTTTTTCGTTTGTTTTTACGCAAAAACCGGCTTTCTAAAAGCTCAACGTGACCACAGTACAGACAAATGATAAAGAGTGGCGCTGTTGTCGTATTTAGCTCGGTCTCGGTGGACGCCAGCGGCACAGGTTTCGACAACGAGTTTCCCAACTGAATGTTTTAGTAACGTTGTCAGAGTCGAGATAAACAATTAGCTTCCGTTTACTCCTAGATTAGTGAACATCGAACGAACTTGACTAAACGCAAGTCAGATGTAATTCGCTCCAGTCTTTTTCGTCGTCGTCTTTTTCTTGTTATTCCTTCATCAGATGTCCCTTCTTTACGCTACCGCTTCAAGTGCGCTTCAAGCGTTTTTGATATGCAATTCAAACTTGGACTAATTAGTCTCTTAACTTCTTCTTCAACAGAAGAGAAAAATAGAAAATCCTCCGAGGTTCGCGTTTTCCTCTGTTTCCGAGTCGAGACGAGTACAGTCCCTTCATTCAAGTAATTGATATGCCTAATGGAAGAAAAAAAAGGAAAGGTATGATAAGACGTAATGAAATTAATTTCAAGGATCGGGGACCAAGAAGGAAAACGCAAAGGCTACAGCAGTATACGTCCAACGATCGCCTAAGGGGCCCATTTCGAAGAGTTATCCTCAAGGACATCTTCCAACTTGTCCCGGACACATCTGCTTTTTCTTTTTTTTTCTTTTTTCTTTAAGAGACTATCTTACAAGAGATGGATGACAAGTGCGCTTTGACGACCGCAGGCTATTTATTTTGACGTGATTTGCACGAACCTCTTTTGTCTCGTGAATACTCCGCAAAAATAGAGAAAAATCGATCTTAGCTTTTACTAATGTTAGGAAATGACTAGCACATTAGCGCGAGCACGTACTCGTAAACCTTACACAAAAACATCAATGCATAAAAAGAAATGTTATATAAAAACAACAACAAAAAAAATCCCCGACGTGTATAGTTCAGGGAACGCGAGACCTACTGCCCTAACCGTTTCTATTGTCTCATGAAGGCTACACCATATAAAAGATGAAAGCTAATCGAAGATAGAAACAAGAACTTGGAAAATACCTAGTTCCTAAAAGCTACAGGGTTGCCACTTCGAACCGATTTTAAGTGGACTGCTTCGAGGGGCCATCACGACTGGCGCTTCGACGCAACGGACATGCCAACATATGCCGGGGCGGCGTACACTGGCTACGAGGCAAAAATACGCAAGCGATCAAACTTACGACGTGTCTCAAAATCTGCGTCTAAACTTATACTCGTTTTCCATAGACAAAACGTTAAGCATGGAATAGGTTCATACGCTGCGTTTCTACCGCGGTTTCTAGTCAGCAAAGTGTCTGTCTACAAAAAAACCTCGCTTAACCTAAACAAAAAAGAAAAAAAAAAACGAAAGGAAGCTAGAATTAGCGTGTTCTTTTTTTAATTTTAATACACCCCAAGTATTGTGTCCGGAATCGCGCGTTTAATTTGCTGTCAATATCGCACTACTCAGCATTATGCGACCTAGAATTCATCATCTGCTTTTTCGTTAAATACGGCTGTCGAAAGGGTCTCTGGACGGATGGATGAATTGATATCGCCAAACCTTTTGAACCGGGCGGCTTCTATCGCCATCTAGAGTGGGGAGGGGGCAAGAAGGCGGGCGTTTTGGGCGACCGACACCGCAGGAGTAATTGTAAGACGTTCGGAGAGGGCGTTCCTCCAACTCTGATACCAGAAAGGTACCATAAGGACAGCAGAGACCTTCTAGAACACAAGCTCACCCGCAGGGCCTCTCCGTGAAGACGATGTAGTGCTGGTGCTCGAATCCGCGCTCCACGAACTTGATACACGTGTGGTTCTCCCAGTGACGCATCGCTTGTTTGAACAGCGCCCGGTGGTCTCCTGCGGCGTGGCAGAAACAAGAAGACACGGAAAAATTTTGAACCGCGATCAGGCTGCTAGCAGATCATGAAAACGAGAGTCTGCAGACACTGTAGAAGGCGTGCTTCTTCCTTGTTTGACAATATCGCCATATTGAGAGTACAAAAAAAAAGTGAAAGCAGTTTACAACTCCCTGTAACGCCGAATTAGAGCGCAGCTCTTGAGGAGGAAAAGGGGAGGGTACGGAGAGGAGGGTAGGCCCTTCCTCCTTTACCATACCCTCCCCTCCTTCTCTCCTACTCCCCTCCTATTTAGTGGGCAATAATTTCCATGCTAAATTTAGCGGAAAGATTTCCCGGCTATAATTTGCAAAAAAATTTCCCCACTAAATTTAGAGGGAGATTTTTCCACTAAATTTAGCGGGTAAATTTTCCGCTAAATCCGCTAAATTTAGTGGGGTAATTTCCGCTAAATTTAGCGGGGAAATTTTTCTGTTGTTTAGTGAAAAATCTTTCCGCTAAATTTTGCAAGGAAATTTTTCTGCTAAATTTTGTGGGGAAATTTTTCCGCTAAATTTAGCGGGAAGATTTTTCTGCTAAATAGTGTCGGAAAATCTTTCCGCTAAATTTAGCGGCAAAATTTTTTGCTAAATCTAACGGAAAAAACCCGGAAGTTTATCTTTTTTTTTTTTTTTTTTCTCGTGTCTGTCCCTTTTCCTCTTGGATGTTTTCGGTTTGCTTGGCGGGGTCTCGCGGGTTCCCGAACATTTTGGCGTTTCGGATGCATCGCGGCGCAGCGTACGCCCCGGGGCTACCGCACCTAGTGGCTAAGACAGAAAGCTGCCGCGGCACATTCGCTCGCCAGCTTGCTCGAGCTAATCAGATTTTCACGGAGTCTGGCAGTCCCAAGACGAAGCTGCGAAAGTTCAAAAGCACGTACAGAAATACGCCCAGAGAGTGTCCGGGTACAAAACCTTCCGCAAGCACTACCAAGTGGTCATCACGGCAATTTTTATCTGTTGCTTACAGACGGTACAGTGAGCGTCTTTTTTGCCTGCGTCGCCATTACCACTCATCCCGCGGGTGCAAGCTGTTGAGTTAACGTAGTGAAATTCAGTGTGAAAGCAACGCCAACGATTTGTTTCTTTTCTATATAGGCCCTTCGCAAAATGTGTAGCGACCTCCACGGCACCGAAAGGATTGTTGGGAACATCCTGTATAGGACAGGCTGTAGCAATCGGCAGAGGCGACCTTTGGAGGCGACAGAGGATCCGAAAGCGGAAGGGGCAAGGGCGGGCGAGCAACAGCGCCACCCAGGGCTACTCGCTCTTTCGTGTCACGTTGTAGATACTACGAGGGCAAGGAGGATTATACAGGACGTTCCCATGATTCTTTCCCCGCTGTGCACGGGGCCTTTTGAGATTTTTGCAAAATAATTGTAGTCCCGCAAAATCGTCCTTCTGTTCATACAGGGCGAATCGTCGGTGCGCTTTCCTAACCAAGAACGCAAACTCGCTGCCTTGACTCGACGTTTTTCAAGCAGACTGGAATATGAACAGCTCGCTAATTAGCGTCATCCAGGCTCCTGCGGTACCACTTAGCCCTGTCTAGACTTCGCCACACTTTCCTGTATTCTAATGTAGCCCCCTGAACAACCGGCGAATAATGTCAATAATATAAAAAAGATTTACGTGTAAACAAAAACACACAAAAGTACGCGGGAAGATGCGCACACGCGACAATCGATTCGACCTTGAAACGTCGGATTCGGGAATAATTGCTCGGAAAACGTTCCGTCGGGACGTAATCCCCCGAAGCGAGAATTAACGGCGTGTCTCGTCCGTCTCATTCTTTTCTTTGTTTATTTGTTTTTGTTAAGGCGCGCACTTAATGTCCCACGCTCCAAGGCCTGTCTACAAAGTTCATCGACTGAAAACGTTTTCGAATTTTGTGCACTGTGCACATCAGTTTTCTTTTTTTATTACATTACTATCCTAATTTACTTCTCAGGTTTCTATCTTTCTCTCTCGCTTGCTGGCGCGCCATGAAAAAGCGATCAATCACTCAAGTAGGGAAACTGTCAGGCGGGAAAAAGTGTTTTATTTAAATGAGCTAAAACGGCCCTCCGCGTTACACACGAATTTGTTTTATGAGTGTGTTTACGTCCAAGCTCAACGTTTTTGACTACCCGATTTCCGAGTATCAATTTTTTGTGTGTGTCTGTGTGTGTGTTTGTGTGCGTGTGTGTGCTCAACATTGTTTACTGCTCGCTTTTGGAGTATATAAATGGTTTGTGAGTATGTAGGTGTATGTCTGCTGTGGTGTTTTGTTGTTTCGTTCTGGGAGGAGGTGGAAAAGGGGGGGGGGGGGGGAATACACTTGCGCGTGACACAGCTCCTTTCTACCTCATATACGGTTCTTTAAATTGCTGCTCTAGGTAACGATTAACAAGCTATCGCGTTAGCTTTGCATTAAGCTTTTTGTGTGTTTGTGTGTGTGTTTTTTGTGTGTGTTCGACTGAGATATTTTGTTAAAGCAGTGACTTAATTGACGCGTCTGTAGGTACACCGAGTTTCCGGCGAGGAAGCGTGATATATTGAAGGAGTCTGGCGCTCCACCGACGCGGGAAATTGTGACCCGTGGCAGATCCGAACTTCCCGAATTAATTATTAACACTACAGCTACCGTGTTTAACGTCCTGATTCACTCAGTCTTGGCTAATTAATTTCTACCGGAGAAATTTGTTACGTACGCTTTGCCTAAACCTAGGAAACAAAATCTACCCAAACCGAAAACAGCGCACAAATTGGCTGACGTGCCATTTTTTTTTTAATTATGTGCATAAAATATGCATTTTATATCCAGAGGGAATATAACAGAAACTATAGTTGGCGGAGGTACAAAACGTTAGCAATAAATATATCTGACGTGTTTTTTTTTTGTTTTTTTTTTGCTTTTTTTTAATGTAGGGTTTTTGTTTTATGTCTGACAAAATCGTCTTAGGCTTATGTACCGTTACTCTTACCGCGACTTCCGGCGAGAACGACATTGGTCGTGGCTACGGTCACAAGGCCACTTACGCCAGCCTATCGAAGAAAGGTGCCATCTTTATTGCGACTGTGGCGCTATGATAAGGAAATGGAGTCATCAGACCACGTGACTAATGACATCATAGGCCACGCAACTAATGACGTCACGTACGACGTCATCAGTTCACGCCTCTAATGACGTCTACAGTCATCTGATTCGTGACGTTCATACCGATTTTGCGTCTCGTCTTTCCGTCTTACGTTTTACACAAATGAGCAAAAAAACGGATTCTTCGTTAAAAAGCAGAAAACACTGCCGCCGGTCTATGATATTTGGGATTTGTACGGGTCACAGAGGGAACGCCCGACGCGAGGACGCGACAAAGTAAGCACGAACAAGTGATCGCCAGTTTCTCTCACTGCTCTCTCACGGATTGAAAGGAATTCAATGTTGTTCACAATGATGTATCAGTAAAACTTTAGAGAGAAAAGACAAAGCGCCAATACTGTGTTCTAACAAACTGCGTCATGCAGTATACCAATGAGATTCCGCAAAAACCAAAAGCGAAACTTGACGGTTCATATTTCAACCGAAGATTTCACCGAGGTTTACGTCTGGGCAAAATCAAATAATAATATGGCTTTCCGGCGTTTATTTATTTTTTTTGTACTATTCTTCGCGGCGATCTTATTAATAAACATTACTTCGAAACCTGAAACAAAGGAAGAAGAAGAAACAGGGGACCGAAACACGTTTCGCGTCTACACTAATAAGGCCGCTGTAATCAGATAAGTTTTATTCATGACAATTTCCAAAACGACTAATATTAAATTATAATGCAATTAAATGCAAAGGTGCAAGCGAGCTGGACAAGAACGACGAAAATAATCTCTGGAGAAGGGGAACAAGAGGGACAAGGCACAAACACAAATATCCAAACACAGCTAGGCGACTGGTGCGCGACCGAAAAAATCCGCCTGGTCCGGGTATCGAACCCGGCACCTCTCCATTTCCAGTGAAGCAAACATACAGCAAACGTATATTATGAAAATAATCCCTGTTGTTCCCCTTCTCGAGGGATTATTTTCGTTAAAAATGAAGCGACACAGATAGATAATAGGCTTTAATTTGTAAGAGGGGCACCGTATTCGCTCCAGTTATCGACGCACTGTTTGCGAACTAGGCCCGTACGTCTACTTTTCTGCAAAGCACACATACAACCAACGTATATTATGAAAAAAGTATGGGACTCAGTCGAGAAAATAAAACATTGTTTTGCGGCCCGCACAACTGAACTACGCGTCTCGGAAAGCTGAAACTCCGTGAGAATGTGACGCTAGCGGTGATGATAAAATCCGAAAGTTTGAGCACGGGACGTTGCCTGGATCAAAATACGCGCAAGAAAAACAAAATTTTTCCGTGATCCAACGTCCACCTAAGCCTAATTTTAACCAAACCAAAGCTTCGTGTCTGTCCGCACTTATTTGTCCTCTCGCTCCAGGGTTACCATGTTTGTCCTTAAACAGCTCGCCCGCCCACTTGCTTTAATTTCAAAATTTGATGTTGAGGGTACATGGGGCAATTACGTCAGTGAAAAAAAAAAAAAAAAAAAACTGGTCAGCACGAAAAAAAAAAACACAAAAAAAAAAAAAATACAGTGCCGCCTTTCAGACTCAAGTTACTCAGTAAGTCAGCATATCCGTATCAGCGAATCGACGGTTCTCGGTTTGTATCATTACTAGCGCATATGAATTGATTCTTATTTACTTTTTTCAATCAAAAATTTGCGGCTTATGCGCCGAGAAGCTAAGAGAGAGAGAGAGAGAGAGTAGGAGAGGAGAGGGGTCGTCAGAACGCCGAGCTCCGTTTGGATTGATTAGAGGGTAGACGTAAAGCTACCTGCCTTTGTCTCCACTGCACTCGTTGAACCCGTTAGAACGCGGAACGCCGGCGTCAGGCATTTGGCATTCGCATTCGAACCGCGTGCTCTTG